ATAACATGAACAAGTTTAATTTATTCCAGGAAGGCAAAGTTGATTCAACATATGACAATCAACATATCACACCCCATATTAATCAAAAAAATTACAAACAATATGATCATCTGAACACTGACTGGAAGAACATCTGACAAAAATCCAACCTCCTTTCATAATAAAAACACTCAACAGATCAGGAGTAGGAAGGGTTTCTTCAACTGATAAACAGCATTTATGAAAACCATTCAAGTAACCTCATACTTAATTGTGAAAGACTGAAGAGACCCCATCTTAGAAGAAAAAGACAATAAAAGATGTTAATGAGAATGCCAAGAAATTTGAAGTTCCATAGACTGAAGATTGAAATGTAAATGGTGTAACCACTTTGAAAACCATCTCAGGGCTCCTCAAAAAATTAAACACAAAATGACATATGCCCCAGTAATTCTACTCCTAGATATATACACAAAGGAAATTGAAAACAGATGTTGAAACAGAAAATTGTACATGGATTCTCACAGAAGCAGTATTCATAATAGCCAAAAATTGGAAACAACTCAAATGGCCATCAACTGATGAATGTATACACAAAATATCATACATCTATGCAATGGAATATTATGCAGCCATAAAAAGGAATAAAGTATTTATATGTGTTATAACACTGAAAATAGGGCTGGGGACAGAGCTCAGTTGGTACAGTGCTTACCTTGAATGCACAAGGCCCTGGGTTCAAAACTCAACACCACCAGAAAAAAAAAAAACACTTAAGATATTATACTAAGAAGTAAATCACAAGAGCATGTATTATATGATTTTCTTTATATGAAATGTCCAAAATAGGTAAATTTGTTGAGACAGAAATTAGTAATTTTGGTAGGGAGGGAGTTAGGGATAAAAGCAGATAAGACAAAGAGGAGTAACTAGTTGAGTCTAGAGTTTTTTTTCCCTTGCATAATAAAAATGTTCTGGAATTAGTGGAGTTACTATTAAAAATACTAAAATATACAACACAACCAGAAGATGAATTTTATCGTATATAAATTATACCGAAATAAGATAATTTTGTTTCTTAAAGAAGAATAATGCCAGCATTTTTCCTCAAAATGCTGGCTCCTACCAGCACACTATTATTTGTGAAAAATGAGTATGAGCTCACAGGAATCTACAGTTGGAGGGGTGGCCCCAGGTGCTCATTATAAGAGCCCCAATTCTGCCAAATGAGAGAAAGGCTTGCTGAAGGAAATGCTTCAGATTATACATGAGGAAATCAAGGTCCAGAGGAAATAAGTAACTTCCACAAGGCATTACTTTCAAAAACAACAAAGAACTGTCAAAAGAGCACTCCACTTGGACTGGGAATTCCTGACCCAGATTCTGACATGACAAGTTTTGAGCAGAACTGAATCTCAATGTGACAATTTGCAAAATGTGAATAAAAATACCTCTTGTCCAAGTTGTATAAGAAAATAAATATAAAATTTAGTTATAAGTGCCCAATGTTCTTCAGTGTTAATTCTTAATATCTGTTCTTGTGAAATTCCCTCTAGTGTTACTATGTTTATTTCAATACATGGTCACCTTTTCTATGATATTCCAAATTCTCCAACATTGGTAGTTCTACCAGGAAACTGAAGTCTATCATTATAGTCAAGCTTATATCCCTAGTTTGCCAAATAATATACATTGAAGAAACAATAAATGGAGCTAACACTTGTTGCCTACCAGATATGATTCTAGGTAGATTTCCAGAGGATCAGAGAAGTCAAGCTTGGTCAGGAGTTACCAAAGTAAGTCTATGGCAAACCAGGGAGGGGGATCAAAGTCTTTCTGATCACCAGCTCATTCTTACTGAGCTCAAACTCTGTGCAAAAATCCATCATCAACTCTCATCAGACCAATCTTTGAATATAAGTTTGTCTCTTTCTTCTAAAGTCCATTTTTGAATACTAATTTCACCCCACTTACTTTTTATTCCAATGAATCACATCCTTCTTTTTCCCCACATGTATATGGATCAGGTCTCCTACTATGCAGATAACTCAAACAATTTCATATCCCATCTGGGTACACAGGGTGATAAAGTAACTCCACAATGAGACAGGAATATTCTTGATTTTATTTTTGAAACAGACAAACACAGAGCCGTAGTAAGAAAGGAATCTAGGCCACATGATATCTTATTATTTATCTTTCTGATTCTCTCACCCCCAGAGCTGACTCAGTTCCTCTCCAAAGCAGCTCCATATCTCCCAGGAACACAGATGATCTCAGGTGATTTAGACATTAAAACTACTGAGAAGAAAGTACAAAATGATGCCTCTGAAAGTAATATTAGAATCACCTAGGTACATCCAGGTATCATGAAAACAGGAAAGTGCTATTGAAATGACCTATGAACTGTTAAAAAGATCAGGATTGGGTGGTTGTCAGATTTTTTCATCTCTGGAAAAACAAGAAGAATTCAATGTAGGAGCCACTAACATTGAGTTATTTCTGCCACAGGAGATGCTGTTGGGGACTGGACAGAAGAATAATTTGTAACCATCCCTACTGAGAAAGAGTAACATTCTTAAGAAGTAGATAAGACCCCAAAAAGGATTCCAGGAACACTCTCATAGAAGGGAAGGGATGGGGGGAAACTGGCAAATAACATTCCCTAGAAAAATAATAAAGCAGATGTGACCTATCATGTCAGCATGATATCATATAAAAATAGGGACCATACTGTGATGAGTGGCAGAAAAACCACACTGTCACAGAATTGGAAGCCTAACTGGAAGTAAGACAAAGACTGACAAATAATACAGAAAACATTTTGAAGAACATAGAGATCAAGATTGAGAAAAGTAAGCAGACGGAAATGGAAATGAAGATGTGAAAAGTCTGAGAAATTTTTAAATATGGAGGGCAAATCAGAGTGAACATAAACACATATTATATATATTGTATGTGTATAATAAATACATTTTTTTCAGGAAATAGTTGGAAGTTTTGGATAAATGAAAATCTACAGGTTTAACACTGACATCAGGTTTCAGGAAAAAAATGACAACAAATACCATTGAGATACATCCTATTTAAAAATAAAGAAAAATTCTCTGGTCTTAAGTAAAAGTATTAAATAGCTTAATGAGTAGAAAATGTCCGGTTAGTCTCAGGCTTCTACCAAATAAAATTCAATGCTAAAAGAGCTTCAAAAATGATATGAGAAAAATTAACAAGCCATCAACAAATTAGGAAAGGGTATGAAGAATATAAAGTAAATTCAGAATACAGGAAATTCCATAGGAATTCCTGGTTTCCTCAATGAATAAATTGCAGGGCAACAAAAGGGTGGTAAGAGCTGTTGTCATTTAAAAGAAGGTTAAAAAATATAAGCAGGGTTGGGGTTGGGGCTCAGCAGTACAGCACTTGCCTAGCATGTGCGAGGCCCTGGGTTTAATCCTCAGCACCACATAAAAATAAATAAATAAAGTAAAGGTATTGTGTCAGCTAAAACCAAAAAAAATAAATTTTAAATATATATATGAACCAAATGCAATACGCTCACATTTTTAGGATCTATTTCCAATAAACAATTAGAAAGATATTTTTAAAACGCTGGAAATAATTGATTATACCATTATTAAATATTAAGGCAATCATTAATTTTGGTAGTTGTGATGATACTGTACATTATGATTTTTTTTAAAAAAATATATTTATTTAGTTGTAGATAAACACACAGTGTCTTTATTTATTTTTATGTGGTGCTGAGGATCAAACCCAGTGTCTTACATATGCAAGGTAAGCGCTTTACCACTGAGCTACAGTCCCAGCCCCATAGATTATGATTTTAAGGCCTTATCTGTTAGAGAAACATAATGAATTATTGAAGGAGGGTACTAATGAGATAGCTGTGATTTGTTTGAAATATTCCATAAAAATACCATGAAAGAAAAGGGCTAAATGAAGCAAGAATGTTGATAGCTTTTGAATGCAGAAAATAAATCTATGGGGGCTCCTTTCACTATTTTCTCCATTTCTATATGTGTTTGAAGTTTTTATTGTATACATTCAAATGGGCACTTTCTTACAGTTCTATATGGCAATGCGATTATGAATGTAGAGAACAGAAAAATCCAAAACATCAGTTATTTCAGTTACTATTAAAATACAATGCCCTTTCTTTTACTGATATTATGTAACTCTAAACTTTTCAAAATGAGCCCTATAAAACAGTTTGTGTGACAGCTTTGTATCTTGAGCTAACTGGATGACTCTGAACTGGCTGGTCAATTCAATTAAACTGACTGTCGAGGGGCTTTGCCTGCAATATACGAATTATATTATTGCAATTTTGCTGATGAAATCATTGGTCACTTAGGGAGATGTTATTGCAATTTTGCTGATGAAATCATCAGTCATTTGGGGAGGGGATGGGCAGTAAGCACATGCTGTGGATACAATCATAAGAAAAATAAATGTATTAGTTATCATAACTCAGATACCAACCTCTGAGGAGACGGAGGGGGGCAGACAAATGTTGCTGTTTCTGGCTATTCTGAAACAACCTTCAAAACACCCCCACTGCTAACTCACCAGCCCCCAGCTAGCTGAGCAGAGCACTTCTCCATGAACACGTCTTTCTATGGTGATCATAATTCCTTCAGGTGCACTATTACCCATCTTAAGGTAAAAAAAAAAAAAAGAAGTCTCTAGACAACAGAACATTTGAAGACAAAGGAACAAATCTTCCAGGGCCATTCAGGCAAGAAGGGGAAAAAAAATGCAAGGTGAATGATCAGATTTTCATTAAGGGAGGTAGGAGGTTACCAACACTGTCACAGGACACCAGACAGTCTACCCTTAGAACTAAGTGCACAGAATAATATAATTGACCTACTTGGTAATGCAAACTGCTACCAGCCATTTTTAACACCATTATAGCAAAATCCATATTTCAAAGCAAATACTAAGCATTCTTCATACAATAACTCAAATGTACCACTGAAGAAAACATACTCTGGATCTTAAATTGACACTCATTTATTCAGGTTTGTTTTAATTGCTTTAAGAATATAGAAAAATCTTTGAAAGTTCATTTTTTAAATGCAAATAGACCACTAATTTCAACAAGATTTCTCCTTCTAGCCAGTCTTCTTCCAGATTGCTGAGGTTTTCACTATGTTTCAAGAGCAGGAAATAATCAAATATATACAATGTACATATTCTATTCTATTGTATCATTCTCCAAAACACAGCAATACAGAATTAATGGATGGTAGTACTTAGCTATTTGAATAAACTCCAAAGAATAGTGATAGATTTAATCTGATTAAATGATCATGGCCTTTAATATGATTGCTTTAATTTCAACAATAGTATAATTTCAGTGAACACTTCAAGTTTAGTGACCATTTCAATATTAGCATCCCCAAGATGAGGATTTAGGAGTGAGAAGTTCATAGTTGTTATTTCAGCATTCCCACTAACTTGGATCGTTTTCATCTAAGTGTTGCTTTTATCTGCAAATGTGCATGTCTACTTCCTCCTTCTCTTGCTCAATGCCTTAGACTATTTTTGTAAATTCCTCCCCAAAGGGTAGAGCCCTTGCCAGTATCTGCTCTCATTGTGGAATCTGCCCCCAAGGTACACAGTGTCAGACTTTCCTTCCTGCAGGTCACAGCATAACCTATTTAACCATGATGCGCGAAGCACATGACCTAACTTACACACATGTGTAAATGGGTAGACAAACAAGGTCATGGCAACATCGCACAAACATGCACACTACTCAGGAAATGTGCATTTCTGGTCACCCACCTCCTTAGTCCAGCTCTCCTGAATGCTACTTGGCCTTGGCATGGCATCCTTGCTGATCAGGGACCCCTTCCTTCCTCAGAGTATGTGTTCTCTTGGCTCAGTGGTAGGGAGTAGATCTCATGTCCTCAACTTCCATCCCCAAAGGGTGGCACTCTCAGACCTAATCTCTTCACGGCCCTGCCTGATGTATCAATAGTTATCATCCCAATTCTGGCTCAAGGCACCTTGAAATCAGTAGTCTATAAGGGTAAGAACCACATTTCACTCATCAATGTATCACTAGCTCATCTCAGAATACCTAGGTAATGATACATTTGGAATTAGCTGATTTTTTGGTCTCACTGGTACCTTTACCTAACTTTCAGCTCCTGTTTACCACTTTTCCACAGCCATTCCCAGTTTGAGTCCTATCTAGTGAGGAAAAAGGTATGTTTATCTGGCCTCATACACATTGTCTCAAATTTAATATGTCCCACATCCAAGGATCTTGGTATATTTTCCAAGGAGACCAAGGGAAGTGTTTCATGAATCCTAGATCACCAGTAATCATCTTTATTCAGGTTTGGAAGGAGGCCCAGATCTCATCCACAGCCAGGCCTCAGCTTTCTTTGGGAAGGCATATCTGTTGTCACTCTCCAGAAACGTCTGTCCTAAGCCCAAGAAATGACTCCTACACTGGACTTTGCCTGTTCACCAGGTAAAATGGTTTTCTTTCTGGCTTCATGTCAGTCCCCAAAGAGTAAACAGAATCTTATCATGATATTTCCACTCTCCCTGAACCTGCTCTGCGCCTATTCACCTGACATTTACCAACTAAAGCCAAGCTCACAGTCAGAAAACTGCTACCTGAGACTTTGCTTCCCAAGTCTAGGGGTAACAGTTCATGTTTACTGAGCGCTCAAAATGTAGCAGGGGCAGCTTTAAATGCCTTATGGGTAGATCTCATTTAATCCACACCTATAAGGTTACTAATATGATGACAAGTGTCTCATTTAATCCACTGAGGTTTACCACTACAAATAAAAGAATATTCTGCTTCAAAAGGCCTTCAACAGTAAGAAAATCAAATCAACTAGAAGTCCTAAGGGTGGGTTTGCTCCAGGCATGGAAACATGAGGACATGCAGGTAGATATGAGAATGGGAACTCTGAATTCCTCAAACCCTCTTGCGCCTTCTTGGCTGCCAGAGGTGGCTCCTACAAAGCTTCTCTGCTTTAAATATTTAAGTGAATTAACCTGGGTTAGTGGACTTAAAAGGCATGCAGATTCTTCTCACCACCCACCCCACCCAACCTTTCCATTGCCTCTGAACCCTCCATATCCAGAGATCTCAACATAGCCCAAGCAGCAGCACAAGATCTGGTACAGAGGTAATTAAACATCTTTCCAACTTGTAAAGGCAGGAATCTCAGACACGGGAATGAGTGAGAATTTTAAGGATATCTAACTGCTGAAGAAGGAGAAATGTTAAGATGAGGCCATATTCACTATGGGTGCACTAACCCAGGATACAAGACTTAACTTAAGCATCTAGAAATAGCATTAAAACCATGTGCTATATTGACACATTCAATTGGAGCATGAACTCAACAACAGCCCACATACAGCAAGGACTAAGGAGCAGAACTTCCCTAATAGTGCTAAGGAATCCAAAAACTCAGAGAAGTAGGAACTTTTTGTGTCCAGGTATATGCCGGTGTTTCAGTGCAATCATTAATAGTGACCACTTTCATTCTCAAAAGTGTCCAGATTTGGGAAAATGAACTACTTACTCAGCCACCCTCACCTTGGATGCTGCAGAGGACCCCCTTCACCAAGGTTCTAAGAAATACCAGGGTGAGGGGAGCACCAGAATTCCTACAAAGCCCTAAGGTTGCTGTCCTGTGTAGTCTAGAGATTACAGAGGGGATATACTGGGGTTCCCCGATCTCAGTGGGAATAATGGGGATAGAATGAGAGTCAGAAGTCAATGACAGCACTTAATCATTAAAAGACAATCATTTTTTTTTCTTTTTTCTTTCCTTTTTTTTTTTTTTTTGTAGTGCTTGATGTTTATTGAAAAGAATGCAAATGCTTTTTCCAGGTAGTATAGAGGAGCTCAGCTAAGTGCCTGTTTTTGTTTATTTGCTTGTTTTTAGAATTATTTGTCCAAATGCGAACGTCTGTGAAATTGCTGAATTAAAAATGACAGCTGTGCAAAACCAGTGCATAAGAGAAAAGAAATGTCAACATTTGGGCTGCCAGGCACAGCAGGCTCCAGCAGCAATCTGATAGGGCAGGGAAGGACCCTGGGAGTAGGCAGAGAACTAACCAGGCGGTTAGACTGGCCCCTTTAGGGGTGGGTGAGCTGTCCAAATCAGTGTCTGTTGAAGTGTAGCAAACTCAGGTATAGTCTATATTGGTCCTTATCTCCAAAGGCAGAAGTCTGTCGGTGGGATGTGGTACGTGGTGGTAACGTTGCAACACAGGTCTCTGGGCAGACGTAGGCCTGGCAGTTGGGTGGGTGGTGGCAGCAGGACGGTGGGTGATCTGGTCAGTGTTAATAGGTGCCTGGCCAATTGATGGGGCTCAGGACACAGTTCAGACTAGGAGGACAAGGGTACAAGGACTGGCCAGAGTTGATGGCAGCGCGCTTTAGGGCTAAGGCCCAGGCCAGCCCCAGCCCCAGTGCAGGCAGCAGGTAACTGGAGCGCTATTCCTGGAACAAAGACAAGCACTATTGGGGGGGGGGGGGTAAAGGAGAGAACAGGAGGACAGGCAAGGGGATAGGACCAGAGCGCAGGGAGGAGTACAGCCGGCTCAAGGAGTGGCAGGGTAGGGGGGGAAGTGGCGTGCAGGGCTCTCCCCCTCTAGGCCCAAGAGGCTACAGGCCTAGTAATCATCCTCTTCATCATCGTCGTCGTCGTCTTCATCATCATCCCAGCCAAAACACTGTTTCATCTCATCAAGAAAGGCCCGGTAATCGCCTAGGATGGGGCTATCCATCTCGATGTAAGGCACCACCCACTCCTCGGCTTCCCCGCTGAGGAGGCTGATTAGGAATGCCACCTTCATGGCGTCGTTGCAGAATCGGTTCTCATTCACGAGCATGTAAGACGCCGTCTGCACGATAAACTCGGGCAGCCGAGAGCTCTCGCCGTTAAACGTTTCGGGGAAGGGCACCGGGCAGCTCGGCGGACGTACCTGGCGCAGGAGACTGGCCCTCTCGCACACCAGCAGCCGCAGCTGTTCCATGAGCTGGCTGTTCTCGATGCTCAGGGCACGGTGCCGCACCAGGAGCGCGTGCAGCAGCAACACCAGCTCGTCCACCATTGCGAACTGCTTGCAAGGGCTGGGCTCGGCTAGGTGGTTCGGCTCCGCTCGGATAAGGTGCACACCGAGGCGTCGCAGGAAGTGCGTGTCCTCAGAGGCGCGCGGCGGCTAGGGGCGGGAGGGCGGCGCAGCAGGATCCCGGCGGCTGCGCCAGCTCCGCCCACAAATCCACTAGGGCCGCCGGTGCGCCGGCGCAGCGCCATAGGAAAGGCGTGGCCAGGGAAGGTGCTGCTAGCGTGGGGGCGTGGCCAGGGCGGGGAGGGCCGGGTGACCGAGATGTTGGACTTGGAGGGCGTGTCCAGGAAAGGGAGCGCAGGGGCGCGGAGCAGCAGGGGAGTGATTGTTCCAGAGACTGAGAGTTCGAGACTAGGTGCCGCTGATCACAGGGCTCCGATTCGGAGAGTATATTAGCAGAGGACTGAGCCAGCGCTGTGGCCCATCTGTCAGAGAGGGCCAACCTGCTCAAGTTGAAACCCTTTTATCCAGCAGACTCATACAATACAATGTTCCTTTGTGGATCTGTCTCCCACCAGACATCCCACCAGGTCCTATCCCCTTGCCTGTCCTCCTGTTCTCTCCTTTACCGCCCCCCCCCCCCATAGTGCTTGTCTTTGTTCCAGGAATAGCGCTCCAGTTACCTGCTGCCTGTGCTGGGGCTGGGGCTGGGGCTGGAGCTGGGGCTGGCCTGGGCCTTAGCCCTAAAGCGCGCTGCCATCAACTCTGGCCAGTCCCTGTACCCTTGTCCTGCTAGTCTGAACTGTGTCCTGAGCCCCATCAATTGACCAGGCACCTATTAACCTGTTAAATCTCAGTGAGAGAAATTTTGACACTTCTGTCCTCACTGTGGGAGTCCACATCCTTTGAGAATCATGAAGACCCTTGTGGGGTCCTGTTTTTCATGACAAAGCAACATTAAAAGGGGCCTTTAGTTGAGAAATGATATCGTATACATTTTTAAATAGTTGCAAGATGAAAAGTTCTGCAAAAATCAGCATCCAATAGTCATTTGTAGGTGCCCTGTCTTTGGCTCTGTGTTTCAAGTTCTGATGGGTAATATTCTTTGCTTAACAACCAATAAACTGTTGAGAAGTTTGTGTTCTACAATAATTGTTTTACTAGTTTGAATGTGATTATTCAAGTAGTTATGAACAACAGATTTGAGTCTGGGACCTTAGAGCCAACATATATTCTTGGCTTTGCTTTCTAAATATATCTTCAAATTGAATCACATTTTGTCACTTCTACCACTACTACCCTGATCCCAAACTTCTTTTCTCACCCAGACTACTTCAACTAATTCCTTAGCTTTTAACTCTCCACTTCTTATCATGTTCTTCACAGGATAGGCACAGAAATCTTTTAGAATAAGTTAGATCCCTTTATTCCATTGCTCAAAACTCTCCACCAGTTTCTTTCCCACTCAGAATAAAATGTGTTGGCCACAGCCTATAAGACCCTGCTCCTTCTCCTACACCTCTTTACATGTCCTGTTCTGCTGTAATCACACCGTCCTACTTGCCGATTCTCACACACCTCAAGAACTTCTGGTCTCAGGGCCTTTGTATCTTTGATTCCTTCTGCTTTGCAAGGTTCTCTCCCCAGTTAGCTACTTGACTCTTTCTCCTGCTGGTTTCAGAGAGGACTTTCCTGACCACCTCATCCACCAGTGCACTGTGTATTCTATGCCAGCAATCCGTAACCACTTTCCCTACTTCTTTGATGAACATAGCATTTATCATCTAATGGACACCATATCATACAGCAGTTTGTTCACAATCTGTCTCCAATTTTAGAATGTAGTCCCATGGGGCAAGGGCCTTTGCTTTGCCAGCTGCTCTATCCCTCAGGCCCATAAAAGTGCCCAGGCCAGAGTAGGGGCTCCATAAATGTTTAGGCAAATAAAGACTCTCTGGGTATGGGTGTTGAGATAAAAATTGGAACTGGTAGCTGCACAAGTGTCCAAAAATAATTTTCAAATATATTTTTGAAGCAAAATATATTTTTGAAGCAATCCTATTTGGTCCTTTACAATAGAATTGATTGATCACCCATGGAAGAGAAAGAGAGGAGAGAAACAGAGTCATCGCCCAAGTATAGAAGAAAGGACCATACTGGTGAAAATAGAAGATAGGAGGAATGGAACCACCTGGACTATCCACACTAGATAAGAAGCTCTTTGGAAGCAGGCAGGGATTCATTTTTGCTTACACTTTTATCTTTGGTATCTGACAGTATTTGCTACATGCTCCAAAATAGTCAATCGATAAAATGAAAGAGGAAGAAGGGAAATGTCAGAAGTAAGTTTCTGACCATGGTACCCATTCAGAGTTCAAAGAAGGTGGGATTGGCTGGGCAGAAATAGTGTCAAGCTCCAACCTTTCTTGATACAGGAAGCGATGCCCAGAGTTCTACTCCTGAAGGCACAATTGCTGTGGTAGACTTGGGCTGTCTTGTATCTATCCACGGGCAAGGATGGACATTTTGGAGTCTGGGATCCCAGAGATACATACTTGCCTAAAAATCGAAGATCCATTGGTTGACAGTGCCATACAACCATCCCAGCCTCTCTGACTGGAATTTGCATGCCCTTCCTCTGAACAATTGTATGTCTTAGATTCTTGTGAGTCCAGTGAGTCCAGGTAGGCCTGTGAGATGATAGGCAGATGCTGCCCTAGGCCTGGTCCTACATCCCCATAGCACAGAAAGTTGGAAAGGAAACCAGATGAGACACACACACAATATTCCCTCTGAGGGAGCACTAAAATCCAGGGAGACAGGAATGGCCTGGTCACAAGTGCCCAGAACTGAGCAGTGACTTTGTGGAGAGGGAGGGAGCGAAAGCAGAGGGCTTATCACTGGCTCAAAGAAGCAGCAGTGGGAAGAGGTGAGTAATAATATATGAATAGAATAAAAAATACAAATGTTCCGTGTCAAGTGGGTTCCAGGGACCTGCAAGGCTCTCCCACAAAAATTAAGTCCTATGGGCACTTCCTTCTCCATTCCCCCTGCTCAGAGCTATGCACCACCTTCCTCATTCCCCCTCCCCCTCTCAAGTGACCCTTGAATGCTCTTTAACAGTTATGTGAAAATGCTGAGGGCAAAGACAGGTACTCCCTGTGACTGGTCTCCAGCTCATTAAATTTATCAGGACAATTCTGGCTGGGAACACCCTGAGGGTGGCTTAGACCCCACTGCAAGGTAGGAGCACAGGCCCTAAGGACAAGGGAGTGAGCCCTGGTGCTTCTAGTTGCCAACAACCTCCATACTCTAAATACTGCCTGGTATGCACCTAGCAGCCAGTCTGTACAAGTGCCTTGAAATAAATGTGAAAAATGTCACTTAATGCCTGGGTCACAAAAAGGGCATGCACGGTACACCTGGCACTGGAATGTGCATCCAGGAGCAGAAAGCAGATTCCGAGACAATATTTGTAAGAGAGACCTATAGGTCCCACCAGGATTCAGGCCACCTCTCATAAAGCCCTCCCTCTCCCCGCCTGCTCCACTTATTAACCAGGTACACATGGTGCTGCTTTTACAGGAACCAAATCTGGAAGGCTGTGGAGACCCTCAGCTTAGAGAAATGAATGAGGAAGGATAGCTTCCTCTCGCCTGTCTTTTACCCCCTCCAGCTTACCAAAATGCCTAAAATTGTTTTTGTTTAATTATTTTAAGTACTGAATGATATATTCTTATGGTTAAAAGAAACTGCAGTAAGTATATCAGTGTGTTATAAAAGGAACATTTTCAACATCTCTTATTATCCCCATAAAAATATCACTTCATAGAACGGTTGAAAATTCAAAATTAGCATTCCCCCCACTTTCTCTATCTCCTCCTCCATGAGTATGTAGGATGCCAAGAACCAGCTATCTTCTAATGACCACATAATACTTCACCTGAATTTCTCAGGAATATACTGTCTCAGAACTAAGGAGACCCAACTCTGTTGACTTTCTCAGACAATACAGGAAAATTATAGTGCCCAATAAACTGACTATAACTGGAAAATTGAGATTTCTATAATTGAATAATTTCTATGAATGCATATCTTATATTGACTAATATATATTCTTCACATACATAGTTTGCATTGCTATAATACAGAATTCATTGTGTGCATCAAACTGCACTAGGATTATTCTTATTTTTTTCTCTTGCCTAGTTATTTTAATAAAATTCATCATATTCTTTATGTAAGAGTTTATACACTTGGTTGGTTTCTAGAACTTACATATATTTTAGAAACTATTTAACATCATATAAATCTATTATTATAGATAATAAATGAGTGGTCTGTGGTAATTTGTGTTGGCTAGTTCTGCTGTTCAATATTTAACAGGCCTCTCTTTCAAACTGGCTAATTCCTGAAGTCTAGACTCAGTTTTTCATGAGGCAGAATGATGTGGTAAACTGAAGATAACCACAAATTCTTTGCCACTTAGCAGAGAGGTATAAGCAATTTTTCTTGCCCTGTGATTTCATCTGACAAGTAAACTGTGATGAGGTAATTTAAAATAAATGAAATAAGGCTTTAAATACCTGAAGATTCCACCTCCCCCATTTGGTGTGCTCCCTACAGGGAGTCAGCTACCATGGAGTCAAGAAGTCTAACTATCCTGAAGAAGCTCCAGATGACAGCACACAGAAAGAGAGGTCATGGGGAGGAGAAGCAAGATAGCAAACAAGCACAGGGACTGCGCCCTTCTTGGACTTTCCAGCCCAGCAAAGCAGTCACCTGAATGCAGGTGAATTAATGACTTCAGCTGATGACACAGAGAGCAAAAAAATGCTAATCTAAGCCCTAAATGAATTTCTCATCCACAGACTCATGAACAAACAGAATGGGAGTTACTGTAATCTGCAAAGTTTGGGGGGTGGTTTGTTTCATAGCAATTAGAAACCGGAAACATGGAGAAACAGGGGCTACACTGCAGATTAAAGGGCAAGCCACATATCAAAAGAACTAATGTGATGTTTTGAATTTATAGTCCTAGTCTGTTTTCTTCAATTTCGTATTTGCCTATTTGACATCCATTCATTGCAAGGTCAAGCAAATGGCCAAACTTCTTTACCTCTCTCTGCAATCCAGAGCCCACATTCTGAAATCACTTGAC